ATATATATAATAATAATAATATAAAGTAGAGTTCACCGGTTATAGAAGAACAGTCTGATGTGCAGATATAATAATAATATATAATAATAATAATATAAAGTTCACCGGTTATAGAAGAACAGTCTGATGTGCAGCAGCTGGGTCTCGTCCCGGTCGGTCTCCGGTAAACTCTTCAGTCCGTCCACGAACCGTCGATCAGACCCGAAGTCATAAGAGTCAAACCTGGAGAAAACTTCAGAGTCCATCTGAACTCTGACTCTGTTTACCTTTGTTTACCTTTGTTTACGTTTGTTTACCTTTGTTTACCTCACATGGAGGAGGCAGACAGAAACCAGACAGCAGCGGTTCCGTCAACAAGATGTTGTTAACGACGGAAACAGCTGATTGAGAGAGAGAGCAGCGCTGCAGCGGGGGCGCCCCCTCAGGTCGGCTCCAGTACTGCAGGAGCTTCATTAATCTGGTCTCTACCTGATGAATATTTTATTTTTAAAGGTCAATGAAGTGTCTTCTCTGGTGGTTTTTAATTTAGATGTGTCTGCTGTTGAACTCTGAAGGATTGAATGTTCCTTTCTGGGGATTTTTTCTTAAACTAAATAAACTATTAAACCCATTTGAGCCCAAAGATTATATTTAGTATGATAATGTAAATGACGTAATGTTTGTTCTGGTTGGTCTAAAGTCTTGAAATTTGGTCACAACTTACTTTGGGGACGTATTTAACAGTACAACTTGAACATTTTTAGATAACATGAAAAATCACACTTTTATCAGTCAGGATTTTTCAAAAATGAGAAAAGAAAACGCTAAATGTGTGTTTATTAAAAGTTTATTATGTGTGCATATTTTTGACATTTGACTTGTTATGACAAATACTTGTTTGTGCTCCTTGTAGTTTCTAAAATACAGCCAATTCTTTATCATATTATATTCAGTCTTTGGCCATGTGGGACTAAAAACAGTAGAAAAAGCCCTGATTAAGCAATAAAATGGAGGCATGCGACTGACTCCTATCTAAATAAAAGTTGTACACAATTATTATTAGATGGGACAAATTCTGCTTATTCAGGACATTTTCTACTATTTTAGAATAAAACAGTAGTCCCATGTGCCCAAAGACTGAATATAAAATGATAAGAAAAACTCACTTTTCAGCCAAATGATTTCTGATTATTAATTTTCATGTAAACTCAAAGCCTCTGTTGAACACATTATATTTCTCCTATATTGTTTTGTTGTTGTTTTTTTTGTGAACCCCCAACCTTCAAGTTCAGACTGTGCTATGATATAAGGTTGTTAAAATTACACTTTAAAACCAGATGAGCTCATTTAACTCGTTGAAACTGATTACATGGAAGATTTTAAGTAAAACTAACTAAATCTTTTAAGTTAAAAAAACATTTTTGATCAAGTATCTTTAGTCATTTTAAGTGACATTGACTTAATTTTGTAATTTTTATTTGTCCTGTGAGAAACAAAATACTTAATAATTTGTGTTACTTCAAATGATGT